GGATTGTATTAGTTTCGTATGCTGCTAATTACCACAAACTAAGTGGCTCAAAAGAACACAGATTTATTATCTTACAGTTCCAGGGTCAGAGGCCTGAGAATGGTTCTTATGGAGCTAAAATCAAGGTGTTAGCAGGGCTGTGTTCCTTCTGGAGACTCTGGAGGAGAATCCTTGCCTTTTCCAGTTTCTAGACGCTGCTATATTCCTTGGTTCGTGGCTCCATATAACTCCAACTTCTGCTTCTGTCATATCACATCTCCTTCTCTCAAGGATCTTTCTGATTACTTTGGGCCTACCTGGATAATCTAGTATCATCTTCCCATCTCAAGATCCTTAACTTAAATCGCATGAGCAAAGTCCCTTTTGCCATGAAAGGTAACATATTCACAGGTTTTGGGGATTAAAATGAGGACATCTTTAGAGGCTGTTGTTCTGTCTACCACAAGCAACAAAGTTGAAGACATAAAAATGAGCAACTAATGTTTGAAGATGGACATTTCTAGCTGAAGTATAGGGTTAATTTGAAAGATTAGGGCCAGGAAAAACAGATTGAAGAGGCACTGAAGTTTGGAGATGATACAGACCTTTGAATACCAGATTGAGAAATTTTGGCTTTATCCTCTAGGAAGTAGGGCTGCATTGAAGATGTGTGAGTAGGGAGTTAACAATGAAAGCAGTAACCCTAGCAACCCCCAGAAGACCCTGCAGTTCTGTATGTACATTTTGTGGTTAAGCTTGAGGCAAGCAAAACTGAAAATAAAAGGCTGGGGACCAAGAGACCACACAAGAGTGAATACACTGCTGTTTACTGTCCTATCAAGTCTCCTTTTTCTGTGAGATGTTCCTTGAGAATCCAGGTAAATGACTGATGAATTTTTTCCCCTCTTGAATTATTACTTTTTTTTTGTCTAGTAGAAGTCTTCAGCCTTCTTATAATCCCTCTGCCCTACAAGAGTCTGCTACAGCAGCTGGGAGAGAGTGTGTTTAGGGTAGAAGGAAGGGAAGAGGGGGTAAGATTGCGAGTTAATTGATTGTCCACCTGACTGGAAGAGGCGGAGCTTCACGGGAGAACGTTTCATTTGTCCGGAAAGACAGGGATTTCACTTTTTGGTTGTAAATAACAGAACCCCAACTCAAAGAATTTAAATAGCATATGTAAGTAGGCTGATGATTTCCAAATTTATATTACCAGCCTGGATCTTCAGATTCATATATATCCAATTGCCTTCTGGATATCTCTATTTCGATGACCAATAGGTAAATCAAACTCAGCATAGCCAAAATCCTGTTTCTGATCTTCCCTTTGCAACTCTCCCTCATCAAATCTGCCCCTCCCATAATCTTCCCCTATTTTAGTTAATGAAAACACCATCCTTCCGGTTGCTCAGGCCAAATACTTTGGAATTATCTCTTTAATTCACCCTCTACATTCAAAGTGTCAAGAAATTCTATTGGCTCTCCTTTAATCTGACCATTTCTCTCTACCTCTACAGCTACTATCTTTGTCCAAACCACCATTATCTCTCACCTGGATTATTGTCACAGCCTCCTAACTGGTCTCCCCACCAATGCCTCTATTCAGTCTTTTTTTTTTTTTATTGTTGTCGTTTAAATGAAGTATACATTTCAAGTTAGTCTCCCATAGAAAAATTTATGCATACATTGTTGTGTGACCCTAATTGCTCTCCTCTTACTGTGATAGCACACTCCTCCTTTCCACCCCTGATTCCCCATGTCCATTCAACCAGCTCCTAACCTGCTCTGCCTTCCCATCTCACCTCCGGACAGAAGCTACACATTTAGTCTCTTGTATCTGCTTGAGCTAAGAGGCACACTCCTCACGAGTATCACTTTATGTCCCACAGTCCAGTCCAATCTTTGTCTGAAGAGTTGGCCTCGGAAATTATTTTAGTTGTGGGCTGATAGAGAATCCGGTGCCATGCTTTCGAGGGTTCCTCCAGTCTCATTCAGACCATTAAGTCTAGTCTTCTTACTAGAATTTGAGTTCTGCACCCCACCTTTCTCCTGCTCCATCAGGGACTCTCTGTTGTGTTCCCTGTCAGGGCAGTCATTGGTGGTAGCTGGGCACCGTCTAGTTCTTCTGGTCTCAGGCTGATGAAGTCTCTTGGGCTAATACTCTCCTTGTGTCTTTGGCGTTCTTCATTCTTCTTTACTCTGGGTGGTTGGGACCAACTGATGCATCTTAGATGGCCGCTTGCAAGCTTTTAAGACCCCAGACGCTACTCACTGCAGTAGGATGCAGAACATTTTCTTAATAAACTTTGTTATGCCAATTGACCTAGATGTCCCCTGAAAGCATGGTCTCCAGATCCCTACCCTTGCTACTCTGTCCCTCGAAGTGTTTAACTGTATTCAGGAAACTTCTTAGCTTTGGTTTAGTCGAGTTGTGCTGACTTTTCCTGTAGTGTGTGCTGTCCTTCCCTTCACCTAAGATAATACTTGTCTACTATCTAGTTAGTGAATAATCCTCACCCTCCCTCCCCACCCTCGTAACCATCGAAGAAGGTTGTCTTCTGTGTTTAAACCTTTTCTTGAGTTCTTATAATAGTGGTCTTATACAATATTTGTCCTTCTGTGACTGACTAAATTCCCTCAGCATAATGACCTCCAGATTCCTCCATGTTATAAGATATTTCACGGCTTCCTCATTGTTCTTTATCATTGTGTAGTATTCCATTGTGTGGATATACCATGATTTGTTTATCTATTTGTCCATTGATGGGCACCTAGGTTGTTTCCATCTTTTTGCTATTGTGAACAGTGCTGCAATGAACAGGGGTGTGCATATATCTATTCCTGTGATGGCTCTTATTGCTCTAGGATATATTCCAAGGAGTGGGATAGCTGGATAGTATAGTACTTCTATTTCTAGCTTTTTAAGGAAGCACCAAATCGATTTCCAAAGAGGTTGTACCATTTTACATTCCCACCAACAGTGTATAAGAGTTCCAGTCTCTCCACAACCTCTCCAACATTTATTATTTTGTGTTTTTTGGATTAATGCTAGCCTTGTTGGTGTGAGATGATATCTCATTGTAGTTTTGATCTGCATTTCTCTAATGGCTAATGATCGTGAGCATTTCTTCATGTGTCTGTTAGCTGCCTGTCTATTCAGTCTGTTTTTAATGCAAAAGCCAGAGTAATCCTGTTAAAACATAAGTTAGATCATGTCACTCCTCAACTCAAAACCCTCCAATGGCTGGCTACTAAACCTATTCAGAGAAAAACAAAGTCCTTACAATAGCCTACAATGCCCTACACAATGTGGCTTCTGGTTACCTTTCTGACCTCATCTCTTACTACTTTTTCTTGCTCATTGTACTCCAGCCACACTGACCGCCTTGCTGTTTCTATAACACAGTAGGCGTGTTCTGCACTTGACATTCCCTTTGCCAGGACCATTCTTTTCCCAGATATCCACATGGCTTACGCCCTCACTTCTTTCAGATCTGTACCCAAATGTTACCTTATTAGTGAGGCCTTCCCTGATCATCTTATTTAAAATTGTAACTCTTCTCCCACTTCTACCCTCTTTTCAGTTTTATTTTTATTAGCATTTGTCACTAACATCTATACATTTTACTTATTTAGTTTACTATCTACTTCTCTTCCTCCCCAGAATGTAAATTCTCTGAGGGCAAAATGTACATCCTTTTTGTTCAGAAACGTATCTTCAATACCTAGAACAATATCTAACATATAGTATGCTTTTCAATAAATATTTGTTGACTAAATTAATGAAAAGTCTAGGTGATAATTTCAGGTAAAACATGTCATTAGAACTCTGTCTCTATCTCTTAGCTTTGTTTTCCTCTGCATTGGCTTCATTATCAAAAAAGCTTGAGAAATGATGTCTGATGGCAAGATGGCCACTATTAAGTCCACGTTTATATTTGAACAATTTAGCAACACTAATGGAATGACAGCGCCTCTTCCCTGATTGTAAAAGTCTTGGAAATGAGTCTTATAGTCTAGGCTTGGGTCAAATGTCAAGCCCTAAACCAGTCTCCGAGGTAAGGTAAGAAAATGCTGTGATTGTTCAGCCTAAGCCATGGGGCCTCATGGAATGGGGGTGAAGTTTAGCTCCACTTGGTCTGAGAACAGGGGAGCTGGGTTACCTAAAAGAATATGAGGTGCTATCACTGGAAGAAGGTGGATGAGTGCTAGGCAAGCAAAAACAAATGTCCACCATATCATCAGTGATGACCCACCAGCCCACCAAGCCCAGAACAGCATTCTTTTCTTGCCTGTCCATTTTCACATCCACTTAGAGGAACCTCTGGACTTTGCTAAGAGCCTCACTTCCTAAATGCCCTTTCACCTGTCTCTGTCAGTTAAGGTCCTCGCTATCCCTCAATACCTATCCAGTTCAAATATGATCTCCCTCATAATGACCCCCAAAAGATGAGGTCCCTTGCCCTTTTCTGTGTATCCTAACCGTTTCTACTTCTCTTGTAGCTAGCTTTGCACAATGTGTCCTATATTATATCTATCTGTATACATTGTGAGTTCTTTGTAGAAAAGGGCTGGGTCCATTTCTGGGCCCCCAGTCCTGCGCCTCAAACCCGCCTACGACCGAGACCACTCAGTGCTCATCTGGGCCGCTAGGGCGCGCTCAGTGCCAGGCGCGAGGCCGCAGAGGGCGGGAGGCGCTGTGATTGGCAGATGCGGCTGTCAATCGGGCGTGGACAGGGGTGGGTCGGGTCGCCCAAGAAGCCTGAGGGAGGGAGGCGGGGCCTGCATGAATGGGGCGCGCGGCGCGGGCTGCAGTCGGCGCTCGTGGGGAGCCAGAGTCCCGGCCGGGAGTGGGTGGGAGGAAGCGAGGAAGGAGGAGGGAGAGAGCACGGGGGGTGGGGGCGGGGGCGGGGGCGGGAAGGGGCAGCGCCGGGACGGCGCGCCGAGAGCAGCGAGGTGGCGGGTGTGAGCGAGAGCCGGGCGCTGTCGTGCCGGTCGTTTGGGGGCTGCTGTCCGCTGCACCGCCTCCGCCCTCGCCGTGCGCTGTCGTCTGCGGGACCCGAGAAGCCCCCGGCGCCCCCAGCGGGGCCGAGGAGTCGGACTGGGGTAGCCTGCGCTGAAGGAGGAGCCGGGTCCGCGGACAAGCCCAAGGCCCCCGGACTTGGAGGTGGGAGGCTGAGGCCCCCAAGGGGGCCCCGCCAGGATGGGCAACCTGGAGAGCGCCGAGGGGGGCCCAGGCGAGCCGCCCTCTGTCCCGCTGCTGCTGCCGCCCGGCAAGATGCCGATGCCTGAGCCCTGTGAGCTGGAGGAGAGGTTCGCCTTGGTGTTGGTGAGAGAGCTGAGCCCGGCGCCTTCCCCCTCCTACCAACCCCCGGTCGGGACGCTCCGGGTGGGACTTTGTGCGGATTCCTTGGTTCGGCCTACCCCTCAGTCAGGGCTCCCGACAGACCCCGTCCTCCAGTGCCTTCCCAGGAAACACATAGCAGCCACGGGCCGGCCGGACAACCCGTCGGGGTGGGGATGGGGGGCGCTTTCCGGATCGACGCCTCAACTGCTGGACACTTAAGAGGAGGAGGGGTCCCCAGCCCGGCCCCTGTCCCCCCGTGGATCGGTACTGCTCGGTCCTTCCTCCCCCTTCTGCTGCCCTTATTTCTCACTTCTCCTTACTTCCCTGTCAGTTGCCCCGAGTCCCTAGAATTCTCATTCCTAAACCCTCTTTTCGCTAGTGCGGGGAAATTCTGAAGCTTAGGGCTGGCCCACTCCTCAGCCTAAGTAAGGGAGAGCGCCCCTGATGTTAACATGGAGGCTTCCCAACCAGTGGGTCCCACTCCCAGCCCAGACCAGATGTTTGAGGTGGGGAGAGGGAATGGGGAGGGGGCTGGCAGCTCTTGAAGGGGATGGAATAAAGCGTGATGCCATTCTACTTATTTTCAGAATAAAGCCTGCAGGCGTCCTGCTAACTTATAGTGGATTTGCTATAAGGGCTGAACATGTGGATAAGCCATTTTACTAGTGTATTTTTCCAGTTGAAACAATACACAAACCATCCTGCCTCCTTTTTTTTTTTTTTTCTTTTTCATTCTCTTCTTAAGCCGTGGTGGCTGGTTTGTGTTCTTTTGCCTGTGCTTCTTTTCGGTGTTACTGTAGCTTCCAAATGATATAGATAGATGAGTTTTTAGAACTGACTTTGGAGTTTTTCGTTGGTGTGGGAATTGGACATTGATCTCAGTGGCTCTATGGATATATGGATAGAGAGGATCTGAGCTAGTATCACTGGAATGGAACCGGAGAATATGTTGGAGCTGACAATGAAGTTTTGGAGAAAGAAAAGTGAACCAGCTGATGGAACATTCGCTAACAGAAGTAAACTTTTGAGAAACTTGGGGAAATATTTCCCAGTTCCCTTAATAACTCTAAGAGGCAGTATTAATACTGATGTTATTGTTGGTATGGCCTGAAGGGCCAACTTTGTCTTTGCTTGTGAGGAGGGATAAGTTGTGGACTTAGCAGCCTTATTGGATTTCATCTGCCTTGGAATAGAGAGATTAGATCTGTTGGCAACAGTGGGAGCTGTCTAGAGATCCTGGCCTCTCCAATGGTGGAGAGCCTGACATCAGCCCACTGGCACCAGAGCCAGCTCAGAAAGTGTCCATGGTGTTCCAAGGGGAAGTGGTGCTGCTGGCATCTCTCTGCCCGCTAGCTCTGCAGAGGGGCAAAGGGATCTGGGCCACACATCCTGAGGCCCTCTGCCTTTCCCTAGCCTCCTCAGGGGGATGGGGTGAGTCAGTGATTACTAACTGTACTGTGGCCATCTCAGAGGCTGAGGAGGAGAGACTGGGGACTTGGTGCCCTTGAGAACAAGAGCTCAACTGTTGGGGAAGAGTGGGAGGGAATCTGCACTCCGGTGGGGGCGTGAAAACCCCCAGCAAACTGGCATGAGTTAGCCACAGAAATTGGAGAGAAAGGGGTGGTCTGAGGTGGGCTGGGTGGGGGCCTATCTTAGCTAGGGGCTGTTTGTTGTGAGAGCTCAGAGCCAAAGTCCATCACATCTTCCTTGGAGCTTGGTTGACCAGTTTGTTTAGTTGGGACATTGATGGCTTAATATTCACAAAATGCGTGTGGTGTCCTGGTTCCTAACCAGAGAGCCCAAGTCAAGCAGGGAACTGGACCACCCACTTACAAGCCTTCCTTTCTGTATAGAAGTTTTAATTTGTTTTCTCATGGCTTTTGTTTTGGTCTTGTTTCTGTGTGCCTGAGCTGCTGCTGATGGGGGTTGGAACAGGGCAGGCCAGGGCTAGTTAGCTGTCACAGGGGTGGAGGGGATTTTACATCAATTTTCCAACACAGGGAAGTCATACTTTCTTGGGGCTTGGAGTTTTTCTCTGGGCACTCTTAAAGATCCTGCTTTCCACTGCTTTTGATAGGTGCCCTTTCTACTATCCTTTGCAAACAGTACTGGCTGTGAGTTGGATGGTTGGCCCTGAAACAGGCTGAAGTGTATTTCCTAAACAGTTAGGAGAAGCTGTAGCATAGTAGAAAAAGCAAGGGCTCTGTCTTAGCAAATGTCTTAATCTCTCTGAGCCTAGATTTCCTCGTCTGTAAAATGGGGCTAATAATTCCTGTCCTGGTGGTTGTGAGAATTAGATGAGTCCATGTATGTAAGGTACTTGGCACCTAGTAGGTACTCAGTATAAATTAGCTTCTTTTTTTGTAGTGTGAAACATTCAAAGAAGTTGCTCTATTCTTACCTTTTTCTTTCCCAGATTGTCAGCTTCACTATGATGGTTTATGGAAAAGCTGTTTGGGGGGGTTTGTTGAAGCAACATACTGGTGTCCTGGTTAAGCATATGGACTTTCAATTCAAAGTGGGTTTAAATACAAATACTTTTTCATAGTATCCAGTTAGAGGTATTTGACCTTGAGCAACTTACTTAATCTCTTAGAGTCCCAGTTGTCACTTCCTATAATGGGGATAATGATAGTATTTGCCACATGAGGTTGTTGTGTGGATTTATATGAAATTGGAAGTCAAGTGCTTAGTTAGCAGGGTCTGGCATCTACTATATGCTCAGTAAATGGTAGCTTTTAAGTTTGTTGCTCTCAGCAGTGACTCAGATCTGAGATCACTTGTATTGCCAAAAAGGGGTTTTAAGTTCAGAAATCTGATGAAGCCAGTTACCCCATTCTGCATACTCAGTCTCAGGATATGCCTGCTGCTGTCAGGGAGGACTTCCCATTCCCCTGTGTATCTGTGGAAACCCCCCTGAAAAATACCGTGGCTGGGGGAAGTTGTATCAGTGTTGAGTCAAGACCACAGGCTCCCAGCTTTCTGGTGCAGACAGATGATCTGGCCTGCAGGCCTGTCAACCCAGGTTGGAGAGCTCAAGGTCCTAGACCATGAGATGATTTGTCCAGAACATCCATCTCAAAAGTCCTAACCCAGCCCATGCCCAAATCCAGGGCTTCCCTACTGTGTGATGTGTGATGCAGATGAGTTACAGGTGTGCTGAGATATTGATCCTCTCATCCCTGGGAGTAGCAGAGGTCCTCAATTTGTCCCCTCTGGTTGGGAGCAGCTTCCACCATTTACTCTGTGTACTGCACAAGGAGCCCTGGTGGCATAGTGATTAAGTGCTCAGCTGCTAACCAAAAGGTCAGCAGTTCGAACCCACTAGCTGCTCTGTGGGAGACAGATGTGGCAGTCTGCTTCTGTGAAGATTACAACCTTGGAAACTGTATGGGGGCAGTTCTGCTCCGTCCTATAGGATTGCTATGAATCGACTCGATGGCACACAACGACAACACTGTACAAATGGTATTATTTTCTAGGTGTGCCCTGATGCGAAAAGGGTTGTGAAGCTGCTGTGTTATGCTGTTTCTTTAGGGTCCTTCCTTCTTCCCCTGTCTGAGCAGCAGCTCCATTCTGTCAGGCATTGGGGGTGTGAGGATAGGACAGTTATGAGATCAGAATGAGATCCTCTCTCCGGTCTGATAAATCTCCAGCTGTGTTTTGGTCCCAGCTAGACTACTACCCATGCCCAGTTTCTCAGAAGCTAGTATTTTGGCTGGTACTGGACTTTCTTTAGAGAGAGAGGGGAGGCAGAGGGTTCTAAGGGCTCTGAAAGGACAGCAGCTGTCTGCCTTTCGTGTGTTTGTACCCTTGATTTTTCTTTTTGCTGACTTACTACAGATTTGCAACTAAGATTTGAGTTCTGACGCCAGAAAAAGTTCTGGATGTCCCTTAGGAAGGAGACTCCCAGGGCAAGAGGGTGGGGTTGTGTGACGAGTGGCGGAGGGCTGTCCCTGCCATGGCGCCTCCTCTCACAATTCCCTGGTGATGACTGAGGATTGGGCTTTTGCTCTAAGTGTAGCATTGATGTGGGAGCTGAACTAGTCTGGGTGCTAGTTGTCTAAGAGGTTTTGAGGGGCCTCCACTGACACAGAGAGGGGCTGGGAAAAACTGGGACTAAAGATCAGGTTCCAAATCGCCATGGTGGAAACTTTTTTCCCAGCTCTGGGGATTATGGTGAATTAGTTCAGGCTGGAATAGGACTTGGGGAAGGGAAAGGGCCCCTGACAGATGCTGATCAGAGGAGCCCTCTTCTTGTTCAGAGACCCCACCAAGAAGACCCTAGGCCACAGAGAGGGGCCTCATTTCCTTGACCTTTCCATCTTACCCTGCCTCAGACTGGATGAGGTGTGGGGGGGCTAGGACTGATGGAGTAGACTCCTGTCATTTGGGAAGGTTTTCAATGCTCAGAGAGAGACTCAACTTTTTTATTTCTTCTCTTAAAGTAGTGTTCATTGTCTAAAGAAAGTATGTGGCAACTTAGAAAGACTGACGAAAAACATGCATATTTTCTCTAATTCCTTACCAGAAGCCAGTGTATTTTAAAACCTTATTTTTTTTTTCCCCAGCACACGGTTTGTACAGTGTTGTGATTATATATATGTGTGTGTGTGTGTATGTGTGTGTGTGTGTGTGTATATAAGGCGCCCTGGTGGCGCAATGGTGGTTAAGAGCTTGGCTGCTAACCAAAAGGTCGGCTGTTCGAATCCACCAGCCGTTCCTTGGAAACCTTATGGGACAGTTCTACTCTGTCCTGTAGGGTCGCTATGAGTTGGAACAAACTCAAAAGGCACATAACAACAACAAATATATATAAATCCTTTTTGTTATTGTTATTTGTTTAGTTTTCCCAGGCTCTTAATAGTCTTGTAAGCATTTTAAAATGCTGTACAATGGCTCATCAAATGACTGCACCATTGTTTTCTTAACCAACTCTTTTGTTGGACATTTAAAACATTGTTTGCTTCTGTTTGCTGTCA